CACACACAGTTGGAAGGATGCCAGAACCCAGATAAGACTTGACAAACAAAGATAATGCAAGCTTTGCTTCCAGCAAGGAGCTGTGCGCAAACGCCCTTTTTAAATCCTGCTTCCCCAACTGCAGCCCATGAAGGGGATCAGGGCCCTTTCCTCTTCCGTAAACCATGCAACTCACGTTGCTCCCTTATCCGTTCCTCCCTGCGTGCCCTAGGATGAGGAGGGTGTGGGCCTGGGTCTTCCTCTGAATGCCCAGCCGGACTGTGCCCTTCCCCAGTTTCTTCCACAGCCACCGGAGCCACACTCTCCCCCTCGGAATCAGATTCCAACAGGGGCATGTCAAGAATGCTATTATGGCTAACTACATACACTCCAAGAAATTCCCCCCTCCCATTCTCCCACGTGTCAGCCTGGGAGCATCTGGTCTCAGTATGGCTTCCCAAGCTGGCAGGTATTGTAACTTCGAACGGTCGCTAAACGAATGGCTATGTAAGTTGAGGACTTGCCTGTACTATTAAATTTCAGGATCTTTTGTCTGCCTTTCAAAAGTTCCATGCAGGTTTTGCAGCCTGAATCTGTCAGCAGATATCACTGCATTAAGAGGGGGGGGAACGACGACTGTGTTTTAGTTTGTATTCTGCCATTTACATTTTAATTATGTCTGATATAGGATGAGGAATAAATAATTAACCAGAAGCAGTTCCAATCTTTTTATGTACATGGAGTTGCAGTTTAATTTTTAATTGTTTCGTTAGGTTTCTGTTTTTAACTTCATGCCACAGAAAATCGGTCTTAACCTTAAAAACTCCTCTGTACAGGTAGTCCTCGATCTATCACTGCAGTTGATCTCCAAATCTCCACGGCTAAGCAAGACCGTTAAATAGAGTTTTGCCCCATTTTACGACCTTGCCACCGTTGTTAAGTGAATCGTTGCACTCGTTAAGTTAGCAACTTCATTACAACCGTCATTATATTATTATTATTATTATTATTATTATTATTATTATTATTATTATTA